TGTGTGCGTGTGTGCGTGTGTGCTTGTGTGTGCGTGCGTGTGTGTGCGTGTGTGTGTGTGCGTGCGTGTATGTGCGTGTGTGTGTGCGTGTGTGCGTGCGTGTGTGCGTGTGTGTGTGTGTGTGCGTATGTGTGTGCGTGTGTGCGTGCGTGTGTGCGTGTGTGTGCGTGTGTGTGTGCGTGTGCGTGCGTGCGTGTGTGTGTGTGTGTGTGCGTGCTTGCACTGGCCGCTGACCTTCCAGTACACCGGGTTTCGGTGCCCGAGGCCGCCTGCGGTTTCACGGCGGCGAAGACTCTCTGCGTCAGGAGCCTCCCCCGCGTCCCCCCTTCTGCGGCCGCCCTCCCCTTTCCCACTTGTCTGGCCACTGGCCATCGCTCGGACGTCCATTCCCTGTGCTTTTTCCGGATTCGTGCGTGGTCTTTTCGCAGGGTGATCCAGGATGCTCCTGAATCATCCCCGCCGAGAAAAAGTGCACACGTCCGAGCGATACCAAGGCCAGGTGCGGCCCGCCGGTTGTTCGACCGCGTTGACGTCGGCCCTCGCTGCTGACCCAAAAGTGTGCGGGCGTGCGTGCGCGCGCTTGCGCCTACGCGTGCGCACTTCCAAGCTGCATCATGTGCGCCCGCTTGCAAGCACCTCCTGCAGTCATAGTCCGTGACCGTCCCTTCTATGGTCACTGGATGCCAGAATGTGCTGGTCGCGACCGACGAGATCGGTCGCTACCGATTGTGCTTCCAATTCCTGCATGGGTATCGGCCGAATTTGGAATCGGTCGCGACTGGTCACGACCGATTTGGAGTGCCGATTGGTCGCTACTGATCGCCTCCAACAAAAACTGGTATCCAATGATCTGGGCTGCAGGAGCCTCCTGCGGTCAAAATCCATGACAGTCCCTTCCGCGGGTCCTTGCACCCCATGTCGCCGAAGCTCGTGCACGATGGCTCGTCCACTGAGGGGTATTGTGCCCTGCCTGTCCCAACGCCCCGCTCGCCCGGGAAACCAACAGTCGTCTGTGCCGTCGTCAGCCAGGTGCCACGAGGGAGGAGGCGGAGGGCGCGGAAGGAAGGAGAGAGGAGGGAGGGTAAAAATGATGATGGTGATGATGATGATGAAGATGATGAAGAAGATGATGATGATGATGATGATGAAGATGATGATGAAGATGATAATGATGATGATGAAGAGGAGAAGGAGGAGGAAGATGAGGATGCAAGCAAAAAAACAATTAGCCTCCTGCACCCTCTCTCCTCAGGGCCGCCGGGTGACTGGGCTCAACCCTCCCCGATCTCTGTCGCAAAGTTTACCTTGATCCGTCTCGAAATTCGATCCGGTCAACCTCCGCTCATCATCGGTTTCTGGGCCCCCTTCCCCGGTCCATCCTATCGAGACCGCGGTCGATCTCTGACGGCCCTGGGACCGAAACCAGCCTCCGGATGCAGAACACAGCAACAAAAACTCCTCTCCTGTCCCCGAACCCTCATCCTCGTCGATTCTCCTCCTCCTCCTCTTCTTCCTCCTCCTCTTGCTCTTCCTCTTCCTCCTCCTCCTCCTCCTCCTGGTCCTCCTCCTCCGCCTCCTCCTCCTAGGTCCCCCTACTGCTCCTCCTCCTCCTCCACCTCCTTTCTGTCGCTGCGCGGAGTTAGTGGGAGCGTTAATGCGGTAGTTAAACAATGCAGCATGCCAGTTTACGCAAGGCGCACCGAATTAAGCCTGGCGGGCACAACAAGAGAAAGGGAGGGCAATGCGACGCGAAAAGAGCACATGGCCCTAAGACCTTAGGTATGCGCCCGCCAGGCCGCAGACAGCAGGTAAGCCTGGTGATGCCTTGGTGCCCCCCTCACTGCCACAGGATAGATACCCCATAATCCCTCAGGGTCAAATAACACGCAATGCGTCAAAAAGTAAATAGACAGGCGACTCTAAGCATAGGTACAAAAGAAAGAACGTACAATCTGTGTTAGAACTGGCACAAGCCGTGCTGGCTGGCCTCGTGAACAATAAAAAACAATTCTTGGGCTGATACCCGTGTCTTTTCGGCTCCTCGGGGGGAGGCCCCTTCACTGTTCCAGTTCCTCGGGGGGGGGGGGCTGTCACTGTGGCCACCGTTGCGCTTCCTGTTCCCCCCTTGAAAAGTAAAGCCATGATCAACTTATGTGTTGCTGGGGCTAACGCTCTGTAGGCTGGCCCGTATTACTAATAAGAGCGTGTAGCGAAGCGTAGACAAGTGTGAGTACGCGGAGCTGGCCTGTGGCGCGGCTGATGTCGGCAATCTCGAAGTACGAAAAAAGCGCTGAGGTGAAATATGGGAAGTGACACGGTACGGCGGCCCACAGTAGGGCAGAAGCCCCTCCGCCGAAGGCCAACATGGCCAGACAGATCCCATAATCACCACAATCCTCCTCAGTAAGCCTAGAGATCTCCTCCCTCCGAATCATCAGTACAAGCCATAATAGCAAATTCGTAAGATGCCTGCAGCGCGAAAAAGATAACAACTGCGAGGCCATCTGGGGCCACGGCCTGGATCCAGGGAGGCCTGAAAGATGGCAGCGTGCCTTATCTGCTGAAAGTACCTGGCCCGCGGCATGTTTGCAACTCATCCGCAATGGGCGATCTGTCGCTTGGCCAGCTGTGCTGACAAGGTTCGTGCATGCTGGTCTGCTGGCGAGCTATTCTGGTTAAATGGTAGCATGTGCGGGCGCCGCTGAAGGTTGATTCTCCCCCGCCAACCTCGCCTTCCTAGCCGTGCCCCATCCCTCCACCTCGAGTTCGCGTTGTTGGGTCGGCGCTGCCTGGCTTTTACGTAGCGGATTAGGCGTGGTGGCTTGGCCGCAACTAGGCGAACGAGAGAGAGGGAGAGAGAGTATGAGGGCGAGAGAGAAAGACAGAGAAAGACTGTCGGCACCGTGCGCAGCTGGGACAATGCGACGAAGTGTCGTGATAGAGATACTCGTGCATGCTGCTGACAGATCTTAGCTTGTCTGAGCGAGCTGGTAAACAATTGTCCATCTTCGTAGGGCGGCTGGCGCAGGCTCTGGCTGGCCACTGTTAAATTTGGCTTGGAATGGCCCATCGCGCGGGTCAGCGTGGCCGCCCCCAGCTCCGCCACTCCATCCTCCACCTCGGCTAAGAGATCCCTTCCCTCCGAATCGGCAGCGCAAACATTGATGGCGAAGTCGTGAGATGCCTGCAAAGCGAGAAAAGAATAGTCACTGTGAGGCTATATGGGGCCACGCTCTGTATCCAGGGGGGCCTGAAAGATGGCAGAGTGCCTTATCTTCGGATATCTGGCCCGCGGCGTGTTTGGAGTTATCAGCAATGGGCGATCTGTCGGCTGGCCAGCCGCACTGAGAAGGTTGGTGAGTGCGGCGTTGCTGGCAAGCTGGTCTGGTATATGCGGGTGCCACTGAAGGCTGATTCCCCCCCCCGCCCCCCCCAGCCCTCGCCGCGCCTCATCCTTCCACCGCGAGTGCATGTTGTTGGGCGGGCGCTGCCTACCCTTTTCTGTAACGGCTCAGGCGCGATGGCTCAGCATTAACAAGGCAGGACGGAGAGAGTCTGTAGGTCACATTTGCAGCTTGCAAAAAAAACAACATGGTGGACTGTCGTGAGAATTGCGCGTGCGTGTTGCTGACAGGTCTAAACTTGTCTGAGCGAGCGCGCAGTGCTGGCTGGCCACGGTTAAATCTGACCTGGAATGGCCCATCGCGCGGGTCAATGTTAGCCTTCCACAACTCCACCGTTCCGTTTCCGCCATGCATGCAGCCTTTCCTATCCCCATGACAGTGCGGCATGCAGACTCGAAAAAGGGTGACGTGTGTGGTCAATATAAACTGCGGGGCCGCACGCTGTAAGGGTGGCCTGAATGCGCAATGTGAACTGAAGGGCTTGAGTAGACGCGCTGAAACGCGGGAGCGTGGGGGTGGCGGGTCTAGAGCGACCCGTCGCGGCTCCTCAGGAGGCAACAGCGACGGGGGAGGAGAGGCGGGGGGGGGGGGGCAGGGAGGGCGCCCCTTCGAAGGGGCGACAGTCGAAGTCCCATGCGCCCGCGAGCGGGCGCGCAGGACCTCGGCCTTTACCAGCCATCAGCGAGGCACTGCCCTGAGAGGGGGGGGGAGTTGCCAGCGGCGGGCCGAACGAGGGGAGTCGGCGAGAGAAGTAGGAAAGACGAGACGACTGAACGGCGGCCGTCAGGACGAGAGCACGAGGAGTCTGGCGCCAAAGATTGCAGGGAGTAGATGGGGCAGGAAGGGGATGCCCTCAGACATCGTCGATCTGCGGTCATCGATGTTCTGGAGGTCGCTGTGGTGGATGTAGCGGGGTCGTATACTTCGCGATCCATGTCGCAATCCTGCCACATCTCTGGTAACCACGTAAGGACTGAAGTGCTGCGCGGCGAATCTGTCACCCCCAATGTTACTGCCGTCCGCCAATAATGTTGGGAACCTTGTTTCCGGAGTAGGTGGGGCCTTGTATTTGGGTGCTGGAAACTTCGGCCCGTGCATGGATATTTCTTGGCGTTGTCGTAGTTCTGCTTGGCGTAGGTTGCACTGTCGTTCTGCTCTCAAATCTTGCTGGTATTGCTGCTGGTAGTTGCGTAGCGCCTCGAAGTAGTCCGGGAACCTATCGTCGTTGCCGTCGTGGACGTAATCCTTTCCAGGGTGCTCTGTGTGTAGGCAATGGAGTTCATTTGTCCATCTTGGAACTGTACTGGGGCTTTTGGTTGGAAGTGTATCTGCTCTGTGGCAAACGTTCGTGGTGCTAGCTCTGGTGCGGGTATTTCATGTGGCCAGTGCTGGGCCCGTGCAGCCTCTGGCGGTGGGCGTGCGATTGGGATTCTGAGGCTTGGTGGAGGTGGGTGGATTGGGCTTATGATCCCATGTGTGGCGTTGGGCTGCTGAGTGGCAATAGGGTTGGTGGCTGGTGCTTGCTGGCTTGACGTGATGGTGTCTGCTCGCTCGATGTTCTGCTCGCTGTGTCTGATGGTGGTTGTTGTGCGGGTTGCGGTATGTCATCAGAACTGCTGTGAGTGCTCAGCGGTGATGACGGATTGTTGCGGTCGTCACCTGGTGCGTAAGTTGGGTTGCATATATGCTGTAATAGTTGTGCCGCGTTGTGAACTCGTACGGCCCAATCGTACTTTACGTTGCATTTGTAGTCGTGGCATGAGCACAGCCATTGTGACGCCGTGAGTATGTCCTGCTTGGCGATGTCGTCCATTCTGGTAGTTGGTGCTCGTATTAGGGAGGTGAGGTGTCTGCTTGTGATGCTGACTGCCATTCTGAAGTCCTCGTGGAGTAGGTCGTACTCTGCAAAGTCGCTCAAGTAGTTTCCGGGGAGAGGTCGTGGTTGTTAGAGTGGACGTGGTCGCCATGGTGGTAAGTAACGGTCTGTCGGTGTCGCGTCGGTGGACTTTAAGTATTCCTTTGGGTACTCCGTCTGCTTTATCGGAGGCATCCGGAATGTGGAGAGTGAGCCTGAGCGGCGGGCGAGGAAGGGTTTGTTGAAGGCTGTTGCTGATGAAGCCGTCGTCGTTGCGTTTGTCTGGATATCTGAACCAGCCTGGCAATAATAGGTGGTCGTCTGGAACGTGGTGTGTGTACGTATTGTTTACAGCGTTCCAGTAGACTGCTTGGTGCCAGCTGTCCTCGTCGCAGGCGTCTTCGTCACTTCTAGCTTTGGTACTGTGTGCTGTCCAGCCTGTAGGGCAATGCGTGTCGTGTATCTCGCGTGGTGTTAATGATGGGAGAACGAAGGGCGTGAGGATGTACTTCTAGTCGTTGCTGTGCGCATCGCTGCTTCGATGCCTTCATCACCCCAAGTGTCGTGGATGGTGGTGGGCCGTCGTGGCTGTGCTGGGGTTGCGATGGGCGTTGGCATCTTGGCCTTGGGCAGTTGTGTAGGTGCATGATTCAGTGGTTGTGGTGGTGGTCTTGCTTGTTGGTGATCTCTCTGAGGTCTGAAGTCGGATTCTGGTATGACCTGCTGTGGCGGGATTGGTAGCATGTGGCCAGGGCAGTATTTGCGGCGCCTGTCTTCGTGGTCGTATTCTATATCCTCCAATTTCATTATTTGCTCGAGCTGCTCTAGAACCCATTCGTAGCGCAAATGGTCGGCGTTGATGTCGGTGGGTCTTTTACGCGTGAATCCAGGTGGCCTGTACACGAAGTTCGTGCGGCGTGGGTGGGGTCCGTGCGTTATTGGTGTAAGCTTGGTTGGGTCGCGGTTCCTGGTCACGGGTCGCATGTGTCTGCGCGGACGCAGGTTGGCCATTGACACGGGTGTGGGTACGCCGATGATTTGTGGCCAGGCTGGGTTGTCAGGTGTTGGCGGGAGGAGCTCGTGGTGTGCTGGGTGGGGGGTCGTGGATGCTGTGGTGCTCGTGGTAGTTCTTCCCTCGCCATATTCGCGGTGTGGTAATCGACGCCTTGCAACTCGACTAGTCGGGTTGCTCGTAAATTGTCGGTGGTGGAATGTGTCCGTGAGGCTTGCCAACAATTGATTTAGCCCTCGGCGGGCGGAGTTCTGCTGCGCATGGTGCATGGAGTGCGTCGGCCAGTAGGTTGGTGAGCGAAAGTAGCTCTGACCCTGTGACGATGTTATCCTCGGGTATGGCCATAGAACTGATGAGCGTGTTGGTCATGGTGGGTCGGTAAAAAATGTGCCTGTCAACGTTCTCGTCAATGGGGAACTCATATCGCTTCTCGTGCTTTTGATGGTATAAGTCGTGCCGTGTCTCCTTGAGGTCCTTCTCGGTGCCGTCCTTGTCGTAATGTGGCTGCCTTCGACGTACCTTGTTGTGGTCGGTGTCGTCGTTGGTATTGCCCCATGGTTGATCGACGATAACTTGTCGGCGTATGTCGATGTCGTCAATATTGTTATGTATGAAGGGCTGACCGTTTCGTCGGTAGCCAGCACGCTGATGAAAAGGACTTTCATGAGGCCTCTCTGCCCAATGAATGTAGATGCTGCTGGTGCAGGAGCTCATGTCCTTCCACTGTGCTATACGTTTCCCAGTCGAGAATTCACTCGCTGGAAGTACCTCTGGGTGATGTCTGGCAAATGGGCCACTGTGATGTGGCTCTCGTGAGCAGTGTATGCCCGTCCTTGCTTGGTGGGGGCTGATTCATATGAACTCGTGCCCGACGTGTAGTGATATGCGCACGATGTACTTGTGTAGGTTGATGGTGTTGTCTTCGTCCTGTTTGCTTATGTATTTGTGCTCTGAGCGCGATTGATGGGCTAGGGTTGTATTGGTCTGGGGTCGCTGTTCGCTGTAGTAGCTGGTAAGTCGGCGTCTTCTGTTCGCTTTTGAAAAGTGGTTGAGAGGTAATGGAAGGTCGTCGTTACCGTCGTCCTCGTTGTGGTTGGAAGTTAATACGCTATTGCTGCTCAAGTATCTTTTTCTGTTCGCTAGTGTGTTGGTCGCCGCCCTTCTCGGAGGAAATCATAGAAATTCCCATTGCACGCTTATAAACAAAGCGTGGTGAATTTGACAACTCTTTTGTATGCGCTGCACATGTGTCACCTGCTGTGGCATTGTAGGGGATGTGTATTATGTCATTCAGCATGGCAGGTGCAATATGGAGGGCGCCAATGAGCGGCGCCAGAAATGACATCGCGTGGCTTGGGCATAGTTTGCGGCGGCTTGGTGATTCCACGTTGTAAGTAACGCTGGATTGCAAACTGGCACTGCTGTGCGAGGCGGTCATGAGGTCGAAGTGTTTTGTAGATTGTGGGCACTCGGCCGATGTGGCCTCTGTGGTGGCTCATTGTTGTAGGCTGCTCAAGGAACAATCGATTTTCCGTGCGAATCAAGAAACCTTGAGCCTGACGTGTAAGCTATAACATGTTATCTGGCATGCAACATCAACTCCCTTGGTGCTCACTTCATAATGAAGCACGTGCAATCAAATCTGTAACATGGATGTGCGATAATGCCGTATAGCTTGTCATACATTGTGCAGCTTGTGGTAAGCCGGTAAGCGATAGCCTTTGTTATTTGCAGTCTGACTGGGGTCCTCCTCCTCCTCCTTTTCCTCCTCCCTTGGCGCCGCCCCGTGACCTCGTCGGAGGTCCCAGAAACTCGTGATATCCCTCCCCGGGGGCAAGCCGTCGTCCTGGATCCGTTCTTGGTAGCCCGGAGTCGCGGCCCCGCGGGGCCGAAATCCATAGACAACGCCGGGGTGAAAAAAACACAACGCCGGCGGTCTGGGGATCCTCTTCCTCCTCCTACACCTCCGTGCAACAAAACAACTGTTCTTCTACACGCCTCCCCCCCCACCCCCCCAATTTCAACATTCAGTGTCGATTTGTTTTTTCAAACTTCGCCGGTCGCGCGATCGCCATTGAAATGGGGGGTCGGGGGGGACTCGCCGAGCATCAATTGCTTTTCGCACGGGGTTGTAGGGCCGCGGGGCAACGAATTCAGCGGGGGGCGGAGGGACAGGCGAGGGCTGCCCAGCCACGGCTGGGGGAACCGTGTTCCTGATGCCCCTCGCGGGGGATCCTGTCGAATCGGTGATCCCTCGAGAGGGGCGCCGAAGCCGATTGGCCCTTCACAGGGTGTGTGACGAGCGCAGTTTCTTCGCGACGTGGGTCCCCAGGGATGATCTTGACCTCTTCCTACATATCGCCGTGGAAAAAGCATTGTGGCTTGCATGCGCAATGACTGACGACTGGCGGAGTAGGCGGGGTGGGCGGAATAGAAATTACTCTGCATGGACACGCGTCCCGCCCCATTTTTTGTCATGACGGATTGGGCGGAGTCATGTCCAATCCCGCTGTGAGATGGCCAAGCTATTAATTGAGGTGGTCCCGAATTACTCCGTGGGAGCGCAAGAACCACCTGCCAATGTGAAGCAGGAAACTTCAAGGAGATAATCTGTTCCAACATTATACCAAACCACATGCAATTTCGTCACGGCAGTGTAGGAACTGGCTTTTCATCTTGAGTCGTCCTTTGTCGGTCTCGGGGCTGGGAAGGGCCTCCAAAGGATGCAAACGACGAAGAACCAGCCGTCGCAATTCTTTGCTTCGCCCGGATTTGAAGGTCCCCCACCCATGGCTGGTCTGGGGTGGACCCCGGCCGCCGTGGCGCACAGGCGTACGAAAGAGGCCGCAAAGCCCTGCGGAGGCGCGCGCGCGAGAACGTCGACCACCGCCGTCGCCTCCGCCGCCGCTGTCGCCGTCGCCGCCGCCGCCGCCGCCAACGCCGCCGCCGCCGCCGCCGCCGCCGCCCTCGCCGTCGTCATCGTCGTCGTCGTCATCGCCTTCGTCTTCGCCGTCGCCTCCGCCGCCGCTGAAATTTTCGTCATCGTCGTCGTCAACGTCGCCGTCGTCTTCGCCGTCGGCGTCGGTGTCGGCGTCGATGCTGAAAGCGGCGGAAAACTTGGGGGTCCGAAAACCGTGCGGTGATGGATCGCGCGGCGACCTTGAAACACCCACCGGGCTCACCGCACGGTCCGTCACCGCACGGTTTTGGGACCTCGGAGGCCCCAGTCGCCCGAGACGTCCTCGGAGAAAGATCCGAATCCCAAAACGCTCCTCCTCGCTGCTTCTCCTCCTTTCTCCTTCCTCCTTCCCTCCTTTGCCTCCTCCTCCATCTTTCCTTCTTCCCTCCTTTCCTCCTTCCATCTGTCTCCCTCCCGGTCTTGCTTCCCTCCTCTTCTCCTTCTCCCTTTCCTCCCTCCTTCCTTCTTTCCCTCCTTCCCTCCTTCACTCCTCCCCACTCCTCCCCTCCTCCGCCTCTTTCATGTTCCTTATAAACAACTCCGCCCTGTCGTTCCCCCAGACGTGTCCGCAGGGCGGGCTGGGCGTTTCGTGAGATTTCCTCGTCATCAATATCATGAAATTCGATATATCAACAACTTTACGGATGGAGTCCGGGTTGTTTTTAAAATGTGGTTCTCGCGTTGGCCTCGCGCACAACCGTCATAAACGTTTGCAGCGGTGGCTGTCGCCCTAGCGGCGCGCAGATCCGTAACGGTCTTACGGATGGAAGGCGGGAGATTTCAACTTGTGGCTGTCGCCTGACAACGCACACATTCGTCCCACATGCTTGCGGTAGATTCAAGGATGGATGGTGCATCCTCCTTAAACATGTGGTATTCGCCTTAACAGCGCGCCCCTTTCGCCTTCAAGTGCGCACGGGGTTTCAAGAATGGAGGGCAGTTCCTTCTCAACATGTGGTTCTCGCCTTAGCGCCTCGCGCGTTCGTCTTAAATGTTCGCAGCAATCTCACAGCTTCAAGCGCCTGCAGTCCCATGGGTGTTTTTTGGCACGGTTTAGGGTTGTCAGGACGCAGCCGTCGCGTTGACTCACGGTGCTGAGGACCCAGGAGCGGCGTCCTGGTACGATTTCAACGTATCAGGACGCAACAATCACGTTCATCCGCGGCACGGAAATCCTAGTAACGATATTTTTGGCACGATTGAAAACTCTCAGACGGTTGTCTTCCACTTGGGATAGCGAAAAGAACTCATTGCAGGGACCTGTAACAAAAACAAGGAACTTGGGGGGAGGGATTCTTGCAACATCGTTGACGCGTCTTGGATTTATTATGATCTTCCTCCTCCTGTTGGTGCTGGCTTCGGGGTCCGTCCGACGCAGCCGCCCTCCCCTCCCAATGGTCGGTCGACCCGGAGGGGGCTGATCGAACTAAGGCAGCCGTAACATAAAAAAAAAATTCCAATGGACGGGTGCCGTGCACCCGCGGCCCCTGGAAGCGGCGACAGTTTGCGCCGACACTCCCTGCCCTTCGGCCCCCGCCCCTTTTCACGCTGGGCAAACATAAGCATCAGGGCTGTTGCCCTCCTCTGGGGAGTAAACCAAGAAGGGTTCCGACTCGGCGACGCGCGACAAGATTCAGCCGACGGCGCGCGTGCAGAACTGGAAGTGCTACGAGTTAGGGAAAAGTGAAGCAGCCTCCTCCTCCCCCTCCCCCTCCCTCCCTCCGACCCGTCGAAGAGCCCCAGGAAAGAGAGAGCCGCTTTTTCGGGGCGCAGGCCGGGCGTGCTTCGCCACTGCACGGGCGCCGCCCCGCTCGGCCGCGGCGGCCGCTCGGGCGCCCCGTGCGAGGCGGTGGGCGGCGGCGGGGCGGCGAACGGCGGGGGCCCGGGAGCGGGGCCGCGGGCGCCGTGCTCCTGCAGGGTGGAGGCGGAGGCGGAGGCGGAGGAAGAGGAAAGGGAAGAGGAGGAGGAGAAGGAGGAGGAGGAGGAGGAGGACCAATGTAAACCCCAGACCCATCAACGATGTTGAAGACCACCCTCCCCCCAGGATCCCGCTTCCTAGGGCCATTTCCACCGAGGGAATTGGCCCGTTGGGGGGCAACCGTATGAACATCTTGAATCGTGCCAAACACCGTTCTCAGGACTTCGACGCCACGAGTTATCCTGATTGTTGCGTCTTGGCGATCCTGAGTCGTGCCAGAACGCCACTCCTAGGACTCTCAGCGCCGCGAATCAACGTAACTGTTGCGCCCTGGCAACCCTGAATGGTTCCAAAACATCATTTGTGGTACGTGAGCCATGAGAACCAATGAAACTCTTGCAAATGTTTACCAACACATGTGCGCGGCGCTAAAACGTGAACCACATTTTGAAAACCACCCGCCCTCAATCCGTGAACCTCTTGCGGATGTTTGAAACGAGTCTGCGCGGCGCTAAAGCGTGAATCACATTTTGAAAACGAGCGGCCCTCAATCCGCGAAGCTTTTGCACATGTTTAAAACACATGTGTGCGGCGCTGACGCGAGAGCCACATGTTGAAAACGACCCGACCCTCAATCCTTGAAGCTCTCGCAGATTTTTAAACGAATGCGCGCGGCTCTAAAGCGAGAGGCGCATCTTGAAAGCAAGCCGCTTACTGCAAAACCCTTGGACATTTTCACAAACACATGTAAACAACAGATGCGCGCAGTGCTAAGGCTCTAAGGCGATAACCACATTTTTGAAAACCACCCGCCCTCAATCCGTTTAATTCTCGCAATGTTTGCAGCGAATGTGTGCGGCGCTGAAGCGAGAGCCACATGTTGAAACCACCCGCCCTCAAACCGTGTGCCTCTTGCAATGTTTACAACGAGTGTGCGAGGCGCTAAGGCGAGAACCACAATTTGAAAACCATCCTCCCTCAATCCGTGAAGCTTTTGCAAATTTGTCAAACGAACGTGCGTGGCGCTGAAGCGAGAGCCACAATTCGAAAACGACCAATTCTCAGGACTTCAAACCCAGAATTAATCAGACTGATACGTCTTGCCGATCCTGGGTCGTGCCAGAACACCAGGCCCCGGACTTCAACACCGCGAATCAACGTAACTGTTGCGCTGATAATCCGGAATGGTTGCAACACGCCGTTTCTGATACGTGAACCACGAAACACATGTGCGCGGCGCTGAAGCGAGAACCACATCTTGAAAAGGAACCACCCTCAATCCGTGAAGCCCTTACACCTTCGGCGCTAAAGCGAGAACCACATGTTGAAACATAACCGCTTTCAATCCGTGAATCTTTTGCAATTTGTTAAAACGAATGTGCGCGGCGCTAAGGCGAGAATTACATTTTGAACACCACCCGCCCTCAATCCGTGAAACTCTTGTGAATTTGTAAGACGAGTGTGCGCGGCGCTAAGGCGAGAGCTACATGTTGAAAACCACCCGCCTTCCATATGTGAAGCTGTTGCCAATTTTCCATCATCAGGGTCATCAGTGGTGAGGAAATCTCAAGCGAAACGCCCGGCCCACCCTTTCGATCGGCCTCGGGGTGCGACAGGGAGGAAGCATCCATAAGGAGAAGGAACGGAGGAAGAGGAGGTAAAGGAGGAAGAGGAACACGAGGAGAACGAGCAGCCGCATGAGGAGGAGTAAAGGAGGGGAGCAGGGGGAGGAGGATATGATAAGTACACCCTTGACGCGATGGTGTCTGATTGTCCGGTGTGTACTGTACTCTTGCGTCCTGCAAAATCGCACAGCAACGGGCCCTGAATACTACAAGACTGACAGGGGGAGGGGGAGGGGGAGGAGGAGGAGGAGGAGGAGGAGGAGGAGGAGGAGGAGGAGGAGGTGGAGGAGGACGAGAAGGAGAAGGAGGAACAGGAGGAGGAAGAGGAGGCGGAGGAGGAGGGGAGGAGGAAGAGGAGGGGAGCAGGACCGGGGCGAGGGGATGAGGAGGGAGGACGAGGAGGCGGTGGGCGGGCCACCCCCCTCTGCCTCGACGCCCTCTCTGCAGAGACCCCCCTCTCCAGGATGCAGGAGGCGCTGCGGCGCTTGGACGTGGCCAGCGGGCGGCTCGAGCGGGAGCGCGGCACCGACGTCGCCCTCGGCTCGGCCAGTTCTCGCCGTCGTCGTCGTCCTCGCTGCTGGCAACGGCGGGCCCCGGCCACGAAGAAGCTCCACGGCCTGGCTCGGAGCGAGCGGCCCGAAAAAATCAGAGCCCCCCCCCCCGTGAGCCCAGAGTGGTCCACCGCCGATCCAGGAGATCAGCGCGGACCTCTGACGACTGTCGGCTGCGAGCGAGAGGGGGAAGTGAGAGAGAGAGAAGGCTCCCTCAGAGGGCGGCGGGGCTTCGCAGAAGCCCCCTGGCCTTCTGAGAAATGTTCTGTGCCTTCGGGGAAGGCGTATAAAAACTTCTCAGAAGGCCGGGGGACTTCCGAGCCTTCTGAGAAGGCCCGCTCCTTCTAACTTCCCCCCCGGGTGCGTCGCCGAAAAGTGGTCCAGCGCCGATCCAAGAGATCAGCGCGGACCTCTCACGACTGCTCGTCATCGCTCGGACGTCCATTTCTTATGCATGTTTTGGCTTCGCGCGTGTATTTTCTCGCAAGATGGCCCAAAGGCTTCTCGATGGTCCTCGCCGAGACAAGATGCACAAGTCCGAGCGCTGTCAAGACTGCTGCGTATGACGCTTCTTCTGCTTCGATGCGCGACGGCGCTGCGTGCAGCTGTTTCTCCCAGCGCCCGAGAGGCGACCACGTGCGCGTTTCTCGGGGAGGAAGGTCTTGACGGCAGGAGCCGAAACCAGCTGCCTGCAGCAGGTTTCGCCCCCCCTTCTCTTCACAAGTTCCCCCCTTTTGCGACCCGAGCCTCTCTCTCGCGCGCGCTTCTCGTCTGCGGTCGTCGACGACGGCGACGTCGTCGTCGTCGTTGTCGTCGTGGTCGTCGTCGTTGCCGGTGTGTGGAACGATACGTATCGGTACCCTCCGCCGCCTGAAGGTCCTGCGGGCCTGCCTCCTCCTCGTCCTCCTCCTGCTCCTCGTCATCGTCGCCCTCCTCCTGCTCCGCCTCATCCCTGTTGTCGCTGTCTTCCCGCTGCTCCGCCTGCCTCCTCCTCCTTGGCCTCCTGCTCCTCGACGTCGTCGTCGTCGTCGTCGCCGTCGTCGTCGTCGTCGTCGTCGTCGTCCTCGCACTCCTCCTCCTCCTCCTCCTCCTCCTGCTTTGCCGCCTCCTTCTGCGCCCGGGGCAGCCGAGTGGCTCCCCGCTCCCCGCGCCACGGAGGGACCCTCGGGGGACCCCCCCCACGACTCGGGGGGACCTTCTCCTCTTGCTCCTGCTTCTGCTCCTGCCCCTGCTCCTGGTCCTTGGCCCCTTCCTCCTCCTCCTCCTCCTCACCCTCCTCCTCCTCCTCCTCCTCCTCCTCTCCTCCTCCTCCTCCTCCTCCTCTTCCTCCCCTCCTCCTCCCCCGCCTCCTCCCCCCCCTCCTCCTCCCTCCCTCCTCTCCTCCTCCCCTCCTCTCCTCCTACCCGTCTCCTCCTCCTCCTCTCCTCCTCCTCCTCCTCCTCCTCCTCCTCTCTCCTCCTCCTCCTCCTCCTGCTGCTCTGCTTCCTCCTCCTCCTCCCTCCTCCTCCTCCTCCTCCTCCTCCTCCTCCTTCTCCTCTTCCTCCTCCTCCTCCTCCTCCTCCACAATTACACAATATGAATACTACTCTCCCACTTCCCCTGATGGCGTCCGGAAGATATTCGGCACCCCCCCGCGTACTGTTTTTTTACACACAGGATTCCCCGGAGTTGGGTTTTCGCTTGTGTTTTTTTCTAAAATGCTGCTCTCGCTGAGGCGCTGGCCTAATTTTCGGGCTCCCGCTCCTTCCGAATCGTGTTCCCGCTGCAGCGCTGGCCTCATTTCCGCGCTCCCGCTCGTTCCGAATCGTGCTCCCGCTGCAGCGCTGGCCCAATTTCTGCGCCTCTCGTTGTTCCAAAACGTGCTCCCGCTGCAGCGCCGACGTTTTCGATTCTTTTTAAGAAGCCCCAAATCTAGAAAATGATCCCCGGCAAAAACATTGGAGGTGATTACACATCCGGTGTCGATTCGTTGATTTTTGGGGCCGCAGAAAGCCCCCCCCCCCTTTTGGGCGGCGTCCCGTCTTCGTCGCCGGTCGTCCTCATCGTCGTCGTCGTCGTCGTCGCCGCCCGTCGTCGTCGTCGTCGTCGTGGTTGTCGTCGTCGTCGTCGTCTTCGTCGTCGTCGTCGTCTTCGTTTTCATCGCGCCGTCGTCCTCCACCTTTCCCTCTTAGGTAACAGGGTCAGATGCGAAGCCCGATTCGGTGAGAGGACAATGAAGTAGCTCAATGGGAAGGGATGGGAGGGAGGGGTAGGATGTCAGATGTTGACGCGAGCGCACCTAGCTTGTCCTCCTCCTCCTCCTCCTCCTCCTCCTCCTCCTCCTGCCCTCCTCCTCCTCCTCCTTCTCCTCCTCCTCCTCGTTTTCCTCCCCCACCTCCTCCTCCTCCTCCTCCATCATGGTGATGCTGCTGATGATGGTGATGCTGCTGATGTTGCTGCTGATGGTGATGATGGTGATGACGATGACGATGACCATGAGCATGGTTATGACCATGACCATGATGCTGCTGATGATGTCGATGAGCATGGAGATGATGGTGCTGATGGTGAAGCTGCTGCTGATGATGCCAAGTATGCTGAAGATGATGACGATGACGATGACGATGATGCTGATGGTGGTGGTGATGATGCTTATGCTGCTAATTATGATTCCGATCGTGATGATGGTGAGGGTGATGATGATACGGACGCTGATGCTGATGCTGTTGCTGCTAACGAGGATGCTGCTGGTGATGCTGCTGATGCTGATGCTGATGCTGCTGCTGCTGTTGACGAGGATGCTGTTGCTGCTGCTGATGATGATGTCGATGCTGATGGTGACGATGATGCTGATGATGATGATGTTGCTGCTGATGATGATGCTGATGTGCCTGATTTTGACGAGAAGGAAGATGATGATGATGAGGATGAGAATGAGGAGCAGGATGAGGAGCAGGAACATTAGGAGGAGGACGAGGACGGGGAGGAGGAGGAGGAGGAGGAGGAGGAGGAGGAGGAGGAGGAGGAAGAGGAGGAGGAGGAGGAGGAGGAGCAGGAGAAGGCGGAGGAGGAGGAGGAGCAGGAGAGGCAGGAGGGAGAGAAGTAGCGACAAGGACATGAGCGGGAAGGAAGGGGGGGCAAGTAGCCGTGGGCTCACGGTGGCAGGCGGGGCCGCCCCGCTGGACGCGGGCGCGCCCTGGCAATGGCTGTCCTTGGCGATGTCCCAGAAGACTCGCAGAAACTCGACGGGCTTCATGCTGGGATCGTCCTGGAGGTAGTTCTGGGCACGGCAGTGCTTCCGCCACCGCTCCTTTTGCTCCTTACCCTTTGTGCAGTAGGCCTTGATCGTGGCCACCAGGGCGTCCTTGTCAAGCTCCTGATCTAGGGTGTCAGGAAGGAGGGGGAGGAGGGGGAGGGGGGAGGGGGGAGGTGCAGGTGGAGCAGCAGGAGGAGCAGGAGCAGCAGGAGGAGGAGCAGGATCACGAGCAGGAGCAGCAGGAGGAGCAGATGGAGGAGGAGGAGGAAGAGGAGGAGGAGGAGGAGGAGGAGGAGGAGGAGCAGATGGAGGAGCAGCAGGAGGAGCAGGAGGAGCAGGAGCAGCAGGAGGAGGAGCAGGAGGAGCAGGAGGCGGAGCAGGAGGAGGAAGAGGAGCAGGAGGAGGAGGAACACGAGGAGATGCTTGAGCGTGCCGTGTGGGAGAGACCAAGAAAGCGAAGACGAGGACGACGACACCCGATCTCCTTGGGCGGCGGCCAGGCGGGGGGCCGCGCGAGCGGCGGGGGCAGCGGGGGCCGCTGCGGCGGCCGCGGGCCGCCTCCTTGCGGATGCGCTCCGGGCGTCGTCCTCCTGTTCGTCGTCGTCGTCGTCGTCGTGGTCGTCGTCGTCGTCGTCGTCGTCGTCCCGAGGTCGTAGTTGTTGAGGTCGTCGTCGTCGTCGTCGTCGTCGTAGTCGACGTCGTCGTCGTCGTCGTCGAGGTTGGAGGGGAGGATGATGATAAAAAGAATGGAGGAGGAGGAAGAGGAGGAGGATGAAGAGGAGGAGGAGGAGGAGAAGGAGGACGAGGATGTCGAGCAAGATAAGCTCCTCTTTCTCCTCCCCCCTCTGCTTCGTATCTGATATAAGATGACCGACCGTGCAGAACAGACAAGAGCGATGGATGCCGCGAACCCCGGCCTCGGTTGTTAGGGGTGGGGTTGGGGTGGGGGGTGGGAAGAGGGTAGAGTCTCATTCCCGACCATACTCTGTTGGGCAAACGTTTTGGATCGAACCCTGAGGTCTCCAACCCTCCTTCCTGCCTCTTTCCTGGTTTCCTCCCTCCTTCTCGCCTCCCTCCTCTTTTCTGTCTCTTGCCTCACCTCCTGCATGTCTCTTGGGTGCCTCCTGTCTCGCTTCCAATGGGGGCTGCAAGCCGCAAGGCTGTCGCCACCTTCGGGGGCTCATAGGAGGCCCAACGGAGCGACGTTATACGCGGATCAGACTGCGTCCTCGCCCTGCCTGTGGGTTGCGACTCGCGCGACTGTCGTCACTTTCGTGGGCCCCTGGGAGCCCCAGCAGAGTGAGGCCATACGCGAGTCTAACTACGTCCTCGCCCTCCTTGGGCGCTGCGAGATGCGAGGTCGTCGCCACTTCCGTGGGCTCCCTGGTGTTCTAGCGCAATGCGGTTCTCTCCACTCGTGCGGTTCTACCCTGACGCGCAATGCACACGCTGTTCAGTCGGGCTGCCGGAACAAGGAACGTTCGATCAGGAACGAAACCCATCTTTGGCACAAAGAGCCTGGGTGCACGAGGCGGGCCAGGTGAACAACCACCGAATGACCTGAATAGGCGGCGAGCGAGGGGGGGAAATGAGAAGGAGAAGGCCTTCGCAGAAAGCGGCGGGACTTCTCAGAAGCCCTCGCGCCTTCGAGAGGTTTTTTGTTGTCTGTCTTCGGGGAGGGCTTAGAAAGCTTCTCAGAAGGCTGGGGGACGTCCGAACCTTCTGAGGAGGCCTTCTCCTTCTCACTCCCCCCCCCCGCTCGCCGCCGACTGTAAGAACAGCGGGCACCCTCCGAACCCAAAGGTGGTCCTGACTGCAGCGCCTTGTCTCTATGGTCGGGCAGCCGAGCCCACCAGAGAGGCCAACGCTCTGCAGCCGGACCTAGGTGAGCAGGGACCGGCCGTCCCGGCAGTCCTATAGGGCCTACCACGACATGTTCTTGGAGCCCCAAAATATTTGAATAGCCAAAACAAGGCTCTTAGAACATGGACCCGATGTGTGTGTGTGTGTGTGTGTGTGTGGGGTTGTGTGTGTGTGTGTGTGTGTTAAAACAAGACGGACTCAGCCAGACATGTTCTAAGAACATGTCGTGCAAACGTCACAACAAGTTCTTAGAACACTGTGTGGTGGGCCTACAGGCGAACCAAGACGCTTCGCCACTGCTTGACCTAGGACAGAAGAACATCCTCCAATACCATGAGACCATCCGCCGGCCCAAGCACACAGAACATTCGAGGGCCCCCCCCCGCCCCACACGATGCCCAAGAACATCCAACAAGCACGAATGCCATCGGGGTACACTCCCCGCACCGACCTCGATCGTATGACTCGGTCCGACCGTATAACTGTTCAGACATTCGGTCGGCCGAATTCCAAAGTGAGCTACCCGCCGGACTCCAGCCCCACAAGCCGACTCTGCAAATCAGAGACGAAGGCCGATTTGAGTAGGAATTCTGTCGCCAGGCAAGGAACGAAAAAACGGCTACCAAGAGTTCTCGCAGCATCTCAGAACAAACTCTGGGTTCGCTTCGTGCCTTGCGCAATCGAAGTTCCGATCCTTCTAGGACACCTGGCACCGAAGGCCCTCCCTGTGTGGTTCTCTCCTCAGCCGAGCTGGTGATTCGACATTTTAGGATCATTTTTCGCCCGTCTTCCCATGAGCTTGGTAGGCTCGGCGACGAGAAGCACGGTTCCCTCGTCGACCTTGGTGTCGACCCCCAGTCGCGAATGCAAGCCTGCCGATCATCGGCCCGCTGCAGGATCAACCAATCGCGTGACCGTGCCGAAGCAACAAAATGATCGAAGGTCCTGTGATCGAACGAGGATGACGGACAACTCTTGTGGGCAGCATGGTTCATTTCGGTTTTCGGTTCAGCGTCAGTCTGGACCTCGTGCGCCGCAGCTCGCGCGTCAAATCCTGGGATGTCCTGGCGTGCCAAACCCATCTGCGAGACGTCCAGAGTCCAAACTTATACTCGGAAGTGCGAGCTCAAGTGCATTGTCCTACAACGGCGTCGCCGCGACTTCGACCCGCGACAGCGAGCACCGAGTACGTGGCCCAGCCCACGTAGCCGTCGTTCGTCACGCAGCGCATGCGCTTTCTGCCTTTCTCGTCGAGCTCCGGCACGCCGAGTGCCTTGACCTCGTCGTGCTGCACCTGAGGTAAGCGGCAGCGGCTACTTGCCCCTGACTCAGCAGGGACGAAAAGAAAAGAAAAGGAACCACCACATAACAAAGAAGCGACCACACCAGCATGCAAAGACTTGCGCCATCAAAGCAGCGACCTGCAGAATCACATCGCAACGACCCCCCACACCAGCACAAAGCAAGAGAGCCAGGCACACCGAGCTGCACCGCCAAATAACAGGAACCGCTTGACCGAAACATCGCGCCCCTGAGGGAAACGGGCCCTGGTCCCTGGGGCCTTCCCCTATAGACCAGCTTTTAGTCCTAGGCTGTTCTTTGACGATGTCGGGGCCCGTACGTCCTCCAGGAGCCCGAAAGCGGCGACACACCTGAGGACCTGTTTCCTTCAGGGCCCCTTTCCTTCCTGGCGAAGACACGCTAATAATCAGTGGCTTTTTCCAGCATGGCCCTGCGTCGCCCCCGTCCCCACACCTACGGCTCCAGCAGCTCGGAGGAGCGGGCGAGGAGAAGCTCGCTCCTGCGCGCATGCGTAGTGTAGCCCGCCCTCCCTGGGCAGCCGATCGGCGCAGCTTCTGCCCGCATCTTCGCCAAACATCGAAGAAGAAACATCCACACAAACACACACCTTCGGAGGTCCGCGCGAATTTATCGGATCGGCGCTGGACACCCGAACTCTGCCGTGCGGAGCGCGCCAGGGATGGCGCCGGAGGCGCCGCCAGAGGGGGCCCAGCGCCGACCCAGAACTCCGCTCGAACCTGCGAAGATACGCGAAATCCGCCGACCCCTTGGGGTTCATCGGCGTGTGAGATGCCCCCCCTCCCCAAACCCCTCCCCCGGGAGCCCGGTCCGGTCGATTTGGAGGGGGGGGGGGGTCGGGCCGGATCCCCCGGATGGGAACGGAGGGGTCATCCGCTCCCGAAAATCGTGCAAAACCTCGTGAAAATCGTGCAGGGACGCCTCTGGTGGCCTCGACATGGCTCTGGGACGCCCAACGAGCGCTCCAAGCCGCCCAAGGTGGCCCAAAGACGGGCCACGAAGCGTCCTCGACGGCAGAAGAGGCCCCCACGAGCCCCCCCGAGGGCCTCCGAGATGCGTTCCACGAGGGCCCCTAGACGCAAAAATTTGCCCATTCCCTTGGTGAAACGTACATTTTTCACAAATTCGGCTTTGGGCCTTTCCGATGCTCCCCGACGGCCCAAGAGGCCCCCAAACCCGCTCCCAGACGGCCCCAGGAGCCTCGCAAAGGGTGCCCCACATACCCCTAGAGGGCCCCACTGTTCCCCCTCCCCAAACCCCTCCCCCGGGAGCCCGGTCCGGTCGATTTGGAGGAGGGGGGGGGGTCGGGCCGGATCCCCCGGATGGGAACGGAGGGGTCATCTGCTCCCGAAAATCGTGCAACACCTCATGAAAATCGTGCAGGGACGCCTCTGGTGGCCTCGACATGGCTCTGGGGCGCCCAACGAGCGCTCCAAGCCGCCCAAGGTGGCCCAAAGACGGGCCACGAGGCGTCCTCGACGGCAGAAGAGGCCCCCACGAGCCCCCCCGAGGGCCTCCGAGATGCGTTCCACGAGGGCCCCTAGACGCGAAAATTAGCCCATTCCCATCGTGAAACGTGCATTTTTCACAAATTCGGCTTTGGGCCTTTCCGATGCTCCCCGACAGCCCAAGAGGCCCCCAAACCCGCTCCCAGACGGCCCCAGGAGCCTCGCAAAGGGTGCCCCACATACCCCTAGAGGGCCCCACTGTTCCCCCTCCCCAAACCCCTCCCCCGGGAGCCCGGTCCGGTCGATTTGGAGGGGGGGGGGGGGTCGGGCCAGACCCCCCGGATGGGAACGGAGGGGTCATCCGCTCACGAAAATCGTGCAAAACCTCGTGAAAATCGTACAGGGGCGCCTCTGGTGGCCTCGACATGGCTCTGGGGCGCCCAACGAGCGCTCCAAGCCGCCCAAGGTGGCCCAAAGACGGGCCACGAGGCGTCCTCGACGGCAGAAAGGGCCCCCACGAGCCCTCCCGAGGGCCTCCGAGATGCGCCCCACGAGGGTCCCTAGACGAAAAAATTGGCCCATTCCCTTCGTGAAACGTAGATTTTTCACACATTCGGCTTTGGGCCTTTCCGATGCTCCCCGACGGCCCAAGAGGCCCCCAAACCCGCTCCCAGACGGCCCCAGGAGCCTCGCAGAGGGTGCCCCACATACCCCTAGAGGGCCCCAAGACGGGCCAACAGGCCCAAGAGGGCTCCGAAAACGGCCCCAAGAGCGCTCCAGGAGCGTTCCGAGTGGCCTCCACAAAGCTCCACACGGTCCCAGACGGTCCAAGAGCGATCACAAACATCGGCGACGGCCTCCCGACGGCTCAACAGGCCCCCAAGGCGGCCCAAGAGGCATCCAACATTCGCCCCAAGAGGCCCTCTGGACGCAAACAATCGCCCGTTCCCTTTGTAAAACGTATATGTTTTGCACACGTGCGCCTTTTGGGGTGCCCCCCGCTCCTGGACGGCCCCAGAGCCCCCCAAACCCGCTCCCAGACGGCCCAAGACGCCTCTTAGAGGGTTCCCCATATAGCCCTAGAGGGCCCCAAGACGGGCCAACAGACGTCCAAGACGGCCCAAAAGGGCTCCGAAAACGGCCCCGACAGCGCTCCAGGAGCGCCCCGAGTGGCCTCGAAGAGAGCTCCACATGGTCCCCGACGGTCCAAGAGCGATCAACAACACTGACGACGACCTCCAGACGGCTACAGAGGCCCTCAAGACGCCCCAAGAGGCATCCACGATGCGCCACAAGAGGGCCTCTAGACGCACAAAAACGCCCGTTCCCTTCGTAAAACGTATATGTATTCTCGCACGTGCGCCTTTTGGGGTGTTCCCCGCTCCTGGGCGGCCCCAGAGCCCCCCAAGACCGCACCAAGACGGTCCAAGAAGCCTCCACGAGGGCCCCGCGACAGCCCAAGAGGGCGCCAAGACGGGTCAAGAGGGGCCGAGGACGGCCAAAGAGAGCCCCGAAGACAGCGCGCGCGACTCGCGGTCAGATTCCTCGCAACTTGCGTCGCTTCCCGCCGTGCTCGTCACTTGCTTCCGCAGGGCGTTTCGGCGGGTCTCTGACCATGGCCTGAAACGATTGAAGGTCACCCCACGGCCGCCCCTGACGGTTCCAAAAGACACCGCAAAGCAGTTCTGAGGTCACCAAGGGCATACCACAGTCCTCGGCAACAGATGGCGACGGCCAAGACGGCCGAAAAGAACGCCCAGAGCGCCCCATGACAGCCCAAGAGAGGCCGATGACAGCCCAAGAGAGCCCCAAGACAGCCCAATACTGCCACAGGACGGCCTAAGGGGCCCCAAGACAACCCAAGAATGCCCCAAGAATGGCCCAGGGGCCTCAGACCACCCAAAGAGGCGACCAGACCACTGCGCGATTCTTCATAAGGGGTCGGCGGATGTGGCGTAAGCCTGAAGAATCAGTACTTGCACTGGCTCGAACCTGCCGATCCAGTAGCCCGAGAGTGGAGAATCAATGCACCCATGCATGCGGGCCCGAGAATCAACAACCACTTGCGAACCCTACCCCTAGGGTTGAGTCGACGCTGGTGTATCGGACATCCCCGCTGGGGTTCACTTGGCTGCAGACATCTTTCACAGTCTGAACCCCAAACAGCTTTTCAGAATTTTTGACTTGCAGTGTAGTTGTCACATGTAGCTGCCTGAACGAAGCAACAACATCCTCCTGAAATAAATCCTCCCGCCCCGCCTGCGAAGCTTGTCGGAGTGCAGGCGTCAAAGAGACCGAACGCCCCGATCGCCAGATGGCTTCTAGAATCGCGATCCAGCGCGCGGTCCTGGTGAACATGGGAAGGTGTGTAGATGTGTGCGCATACGGCACACACGCCGCGTTAATAGAAACACGATGCGAGCGTGCAAATGCCACCAGCCCGCTGGACTCCGGTGGTTTAGAGTACGAGCTCTTGGGAAGGGTTTACCGGTCCCCCTACTCCCTCCCCAGATTTGTGGGAGGCGTATGGGCGACACTCGCCGCGAGGATTAGAGTGTCCAAGATGGCCGGCCAGGGCCTCAAGATGGCCCTGGATTGCCAATCTAGACTCCAACATCTGCCCAGGATGCGCCAGGACGGCCCCAATATGGCTCGATGTGGCCACGCAGCCTCCTACGCCACGAGCGTACGGTGTTCGGCATTTGAACGATCGTGGTCTTCCTGCCTTTCCGCTTCCGAAAGGTCCCTCGGGCCTCAGGATGGTCACACGACGGTCCAAAAGGGCCCCCAGAGGGACCCGTGAATTGACAAAATGGGCACCCCTACGAGGAGTCCCCAGACGACCCCGAGAGGTGTGTTTGTTCTCCGTGGCCCAGGGGTATCTGCATATGTCGGCGTATGCGTGTGTGTATGTGTATGTGTACAAGCATAGAGCTATTACATATACATGTTCACGTACCGTTTGAACTATGGGTGTACGTGCTGCTTCAAATATACGCACACGTATGTTTATGCAAACCTGCATTGGCACGTCGCCGCTCAATGCATATATGTATGCATGCATGCATGTATGTATGCATGTATGTATGTATGCATGAATGCACGTCTGTATGTAGGTATACATGTATGTATGCATGCATGCATGCATGTATGTATGTATGTATGTACAGATGAATATTTGTATGCACACAAAACATCGATATCAATATAATAGTTGTCCATGTGTACGTATTGCATTGAACAACATGCGGGGCATCTGGGGGCCCACACCGGGCCCTGGCATCCCTGTCTGCCCCGTATCCTTCTTTCCGATATGAGTCGGTTGGGGAGACTTGGGAATACCTGAAGGGTTCTAAAGGACCTGCGTCTCCTCCTGCCTCCTCCTCATTACCACTAATATTCACTTGGCGGTGCGATTCGGTCACAGCTCCACTGAAGTAGTAACCCACACAATGTGTGCATTTGACATGAAAAGGTACGAATCACGCGGATTGAGCCGAGACCTACGGTCACAGAGGAAGGCAAGGTTCACAAAGCGTTCCCCCCACCGATTTCGACACAGCCCTCACACGGATCGTGCCCCCCCCAGGGACAAAGTTTGCATGGCGTCCCTCCCCCCATCTCGGCTCACCCTTCACGCGAATCGTGCCCCAGAGAGATAAAGTTTCACATGTGGCCCGAGTGGGAGGAG